ACACTTAGAATTTTCTAAATGTCAGTCATTGTTCTCAGTAACTTCTTTCCTACAGTACAAAGGTACAGGTAATGTTATTCCTGGTTTATAGAAAGGAAAACTGAGGCTTGGAGAAGTAAAACCATTACCTAAGGTCACACAATTGAGAAGGGCGGGAGCCAAGACCTGAGCCCGGACAGGTGGCACTACTCAGTGCTGCTTATTGAGTCCTTTGAGATGTCCAACATATGGTTCAACTTTTATCATCAGAGAAGCTACTTTCATTACTCATTCTAAATGAAATGAGAAAGCAATACAGAACAGAGAGTGAAGGACTTAGCAGAGGGATGGGGAGAAACAGCCTGAATTGCTAGGGTGAGTCCCAGTGAAGACTCCTGGAATTATCCCTGGCTGGAGAAAGCAGATGGTATGGCTACCATTAACAGGGATCCTAAGGAGGGTCTAACAAGCCTGTGTGTGAGTAGAAGATGGTTGTCAGTTGGGGAGGGGCCCTTCTCAGCTGTGTGAAGGGTTTGCTAAGATGGAATTAGGGTTTATTGAGAAGTAAAGAGCAATATCCAGCTGCCTGAGAATTACATTGACAGGATGCAAAGGCAAGAGAATATTGTGTAAACCTTATTTACAGATCAATAGGTAATCTTTCATGCACAAAAGGTCAGCTCCAGGAAGGCAGAGCTGTACAGAAAGAAATATTGCCTGCAAATACAATATTGACTTAAAAAATGCACCAGATGAATCCTTTGATGTATATTCTTCTAGTCAAAGTACATTTCTTTATTCATGAGTTTTTTTCTAACCACTTTAGGTTCCTCGGTGAAGTATGAAGGCAGCAATGAAGAACATTGATTTCCAGTTGTCTTGAATTCTGTGTCATCAAATGATCAGCACGAAATGGAATCAGTGCTGAAAATTTCAAAACAACATTTCTGTGTGTGTGTGTGGCAATTAGGATATTCAAGTCAAATGGAAACTTACCTCTAACCCCTTGTAATTTCCTGCTTTGGTGGCTGTGATGATAAACATTTATCCTGGCTTCAGGAAATAAACAAGTATTCAATCCTACTGGTCCCCTTTGGATCCTTTCATCCATTTTGTGTTTCTTCTTCGCCTTGAGGCTAGTAGTTCATCATCCCAAAGAATATCTGAAACCGTAGCCATCTACGTCCACCTGGCTGCTGGATTGTGAGGCCATTATGAGGGCTGCTCAGACACAGGTAAGCATGGAAGGAGAAGGAAGCTCAGCTGGGCTTTGTGTCCATTATGGGCTCGTTCAGATTAGAGGTTCAACTAATTGACATCCCTTATCGGTATGGAAAATTTTTCAAAGGGCCACAGCTTGAGCCCCAAATAGAAGTATTGCTGGTAGAAGTGCCGTTGGAGTGCGGAGTTGCTGGGGTTCCCAGGGTCACCATGTGCCATATCCTAAGGAAGACTGTGCAGCTGGGAAAAGCGCACCCTTGGCAATAAAGTCAAAAGACTGAAGATGGACCACGCTTCCTGATGGAGATCAGCATGCCAGTGAATGTGAAAGAATTTTACTCACTGTAGAATTCTATGAATATTTTTCTCAGAGTAATCAAGGAGGATACTTTGACAATGACACAGTTCCTCCAAACTGCTTACAAGTTCTTTTCCCAAATGCTCTGAGAATAATAACCTCCTCCTATGAAAGGATGTGGCTGGAACTGGTCACCTACAGCTTTGTTTGGACTTGACAGGGGAGCCAGGTGGGACTGGGGACTAATCAACACCTCAAAGTGAGAAAAGGACATGGGGAGGGGGGGAGTGGGGTTGGATTTGATGACTGATGGCATAGATTTTAGCCTCTTCCAGAATCAAAGTCATAGCCTGGCCCCTCTATTTGGTCACAGTTCCCATTCCTCCCCCTGGGGCTATACCTTCCATGCCCACAGCCTCCCAAGTTCTTCCCCAGCTCTCACCCCCGTAGAGGGAAACCTAAGGGTCCTTATTAATAAGAGTGGATGGTGTTGACCATAATGTATAGGCCAATATTGGGTCTGATTCTAGATCTCTTGATTTCAAACTTTGCAATGATTCCTCATCCCTTATTCACATGCTCCCAGCGCAACATTCTGGCTATTGTTCGTGCTGTTATTATCCAACACTATGGAATATGTCTGTGTAGGGGTCGTTTTCTTTTTGGGTCTGTCCTCTGAAGGAATGCTTCTCATTACATGTATGTGAGTGGCAGTCCTCCTGTGGATGTCTTTGCTTGCCCTAACATGATTTTATTCTGTTATTAAAGGCTCTGTGGCCCCCATATTCCACTCAGACTTTTTCTAAGAGGAAAGGGAGAGAAAGAAGGGAAGATGGCAGTTGGAAGGGAAAGAAGAAAAGAAGGAATGAAATAAGCCAACTGGGTAACAGGCACTAATAATTTTATGTATGTATAGCTTTTTTTTTTTCTTTTTAGAGCGAGAGAGGAGAGCACATGCACATGAGCAAGGGAAGTGGGAAGGGCAGAGGGAGAGAGAGAATCTTAAGCATGCTCCATGCCCAGCAGGGCTTGAACTCACAACCCTGAGATCACGACTTGAGCCAAAATCAAGAGTCAGATGCTTAACCAAATGAGCCACCCAGGCACCCCTGTTTGTATAGTTACTTATAGTTTGTATACTGAAAAACAGTTTGCAAGGCGTTTTTTACAGGCATAATCTTATTTGTTTTTCACAACCCACCCTATTTACAGATAAGGCAACTGGGGCTTAGAGAAGGTACTTTGCTGTCTACCTAATATCAGTATCCCACCCGGAATCCGGTCCTTCTGCCATCATATATAGTTTTTTTTTTTTTTTCTTTTCTATACCGCTCCATGAAATGTAAAGGAATTTCCCAAACTTGTCTTTTTGAACTTATGACAAACAGTATTAAGTAAAAGCTGAAGATCTTAGTGGCCACCATAACTCTTATTCAGCCCTTACTGGACTTTTCCTGAGAGTGGACTGGTAGACTTTTGTTGGCCAGAAATAATCATCCTACAAAATACTCAGTACATTTATTAATGTTTTCAAATACTTTGTAGTTTATGTAATATTTTCATATATATATCTCACTTGAGGGTCTTATATAAGTGCATCTCAGAAGTCCAGGAATTGGCCCAAGAGTAAGTGGTGGGGTGGAGATGAAGTCTTAGTTTTTTTAATTCTAAGGCCCATGCCTTCTCTGTTAACCCATATTTCCTCTACTGTTATGTGCCTAATCCAGGTTAGCTTCTGCAGACAGTATAGCAAAGTCCATTTAGGAAGCCAGGACTGCCAGGTCTGAAATTAAAAGAGGTCATAACACTGACTTCTGAGCCTGAGTGGGGCACTTGTGGGGCACAGTGCAAAATGAAAATGCAGGGCCCTTTGTTAAAAAAAAAAAAAAAAATGTTTAAGCATTTCAAGACCGTGGCAGCAGGGAATTAAACCTAGTGGGAGGCCCTCTGGGTGTGGGGTGCTTTTGAGCATGGAGCCCTGTGTGACTGCATGGGCAGCGTTGGTCCTGCCTCTGACATTAACTCAGGAGTGAACAGCCTTAATTCTTTCTCAGATCCTTTCCAGGGCTCCTATCAGGGAGAGGAAATTCCATGTCATATAGATTCTGTTCTGTTAAATCTTTTATTCCCTTAGTCAGTCAGAGCTGAGGTATACAATGGCCCAGTGTTGCTCATTGTACCTACTAACTCCAGTTCTGGTGGATCAAAATTTAGGGTCAAAGTATCACTAGCAGCTAATAGTAATATGAGCATTTACCATGTTACAGGCAGGGTGTAGAACTTTTTACATGCTTTGGTTGCAAAGATGGCCTCAATTCCTTATCCTTCCTTGTATCCACACACCTTATTTTGTGATTTTGCAGCTTTTCCCATAAAAAAATGGAGTGTGTTTCTTTAGCTTTTGAATCAGGGCTGGCACCATGAGTTTCTTTGGCTAACAAAATGCTCCAGAAGAGACAGTGTGCTAATTCAGGGTGTAGATCTCAAGAGGCTTGCAAGCTTGAGCTCTGTTGGAAGGCCCCGGACTGCCATTAGAGCAAGCCTATGTTAGCCTGCTGGAAATGAGCACCTCTTGTTGGAGATCTGTCCTCTCAACTGAGACCATCAACAGCAGCCAACCCCATGTTGACCTGCCACCTAACTGTAGTTACTTAAGTGAGCTTAGCTGAGGTCAGGCAAACAGTCCAGGTCAGCAGACACATTCCATGGATCAACTCACAGACAGATGAGAGATAATAAATAGCTGTTGCTTTAAAACTCTTTTTTGGGGGTGGTGGTGGTTATGCATTATTATGTTAATAGGTACTGATACGCATTTATCATTATTATTTCCATTCTTGTGACAGGGAAATAAGCTGTGAAAGATTAAGTTCTAGCCTGTGATTAGCTGGTGAATGGGCTTAGTGTGACTTGTAGCCCAAGTTCTTATGTGGTATTTTATGGAGCCCTATCATAGCACTCTGTCAAGCACTCAGCTATTTTGGAAGCCATTTGCATGGAAGAAGCAGTGTCTTTGCTGATGTGACATGCCCGAAGGATGGAACTCAAACACTAGGAATCTCTCTGCTGAGAAAATACTATGTCTATTATTAACTAAAACTTACAAAATAAAACACTATAATGTATCAAAGAAAAAAATGTATGTATGCAGAACAAATGAGATGCTTTTGAGGTCAAGGTCAAAAGCTAAATGCTAGCACAAATTCTGGCTGCATCTTATTAACACTAAATCATGACTGAGTTCCGCAAGAGGTACATATGACAATTCCATTAACACAAACCATGCCTTATGATGTCTGTTTTAGTAAATGAAAAGAAAAATGCAGTTATATTAGTGGAACTCTCTTATAAAACTAAAATAAAATTCACCAGCAAGTGTCTCCCCCTTCTATGTTAACCCACATCTATTATAAAAAGCAGTTGCTCCCCAGAGTAGCAAGTGGACGTTTTGATAAAACATAATTTGTTTATAGAAGGGGCACCAGAATATAAGAGTTCTTACAAATATCGGAGGTTGGGAAGGCTCTGGAAGGCATCAGGGTCGATATATAGCAGGTTGTTGGCTTTTTCAATTCTACTGTAAAATAGGAAAGAACAAGTACATGAACTCAACATTAAGGAATGCTGTAGTATTTTTCACATTATGCAAAAGGTATCTCAGTCACTCACCTATCCATCCATCCATCCATCCATCCATCCATCCATCCATCCATCCATCATTTCAACAAAGAGTTGAGACCACATGCAGTTCTTTTACTACACTAAACCGTGCAAACTAAATATTAACCCATTTGGCTCTCATAACTAATGTCCTCTTGGCACGTGTTAATCATAACTGAACAAAGCACTGGTTGAGTGTGTCCTTTTCACACAGCACACTGCATCTTTAACCAGTAAATGTCTTTTAGAGACCTCCTCAAGGTTCCTCTGAGGCAGCTAAGAGGGCAGGGATGAGACTAACATGGGGAAAAGAGATTTTGTCTGGTCTGGAGACAAGAGCGCATGAGATGGAAAACAATAAAAGGTGAAAAGAAGATGGGAGGAAGGGGAAGGGTGAAGGACAAAAGGGGATTAGGGAAAAAGTAAAGAGGCAAAGGAAAACAAAGATTAGGTGAAAAGCAGTGGACATCTCTGATTTTAACCAAGAAATTGCAGCCGACAGTAGCTGGGAATGTGCTGGTGATTCCCTTCATGTTGTAGACTGAGGCTACTCTCAGAGCTCATGGGAAGTGGTGACTTCTGCCCTCGTTGCCTTTGGTTGGGTCCTGATCAATAGTCTGGAGGTGAGCATGTTCACATTTGGATTCCAGCAGAGAGAGACTGCCCTTTCCTCATCTTGCTGGATCAATGTATATTTGCAGAGATGCTCTGTGTTAATTACTTCCTCCCTGTTTCATTAGCTTTTATATTGCAGTAACCTGTAGCTATCCAGATCCAAGTACCAGGTAATTAATTATTTTAAGTACAGTCAGTGCTACATGGGGGTGAGCACCTCTCCGTGCAGGGAAGAGATGAAAGAGCCGTTCCATTAGCTCTACTGCCCGCCAAACCACAGAGAGGGATGCTTGCTTGACCCTGCTCAGAGAGCTGGCTGCCCTTTGATTCATTTCTTTGACATTCCCTGTGGGTCTGAGACCCTGGTCAACTCTCTTTTCCCAACTAGGACAAGGAGAGACCAAACAGAAGAAAGGAAGGAACAGGAGGGCAATGGGGGAGAATGAGGGAAGGCATCAGTTGCAGAGGTTTAATGGCATTGAGGAATAATGCAGGTGGGAGGCAGAGTGGGTAGAAGGAAGGAAAAGGGATGGGGCAGTCTGCAAGTATGGACAGATCGAGTGTCATTTCTAAACAAATATGTGAATCATGTGAATGTGTACATGTATATATGCTTGGCAAATGCTAAGAGGTTTTTAAAAAAATACCAGAATTGGGATTTATTTTCAAGTCCTTATCCTGCTATGGATTTGGCTGGGTAACTTTAGATAAGTCTTGCAACTTCTCTGTGTCTTTCATCCTCATCTGTAATGCTAAGAAAAGTGGTTCAGTGGCTCTCCTAACTATGTTCTGTGGGAATTTTGTGAGATATTAATACATGCCCCACAGAAGAAACCTTTCCAGTGATATTGGTTGAGAACCCTTAATAAAATATCCTCCTTGGAGATTCTAAGTATATATTTGCATGTTATAGGTTCTGAGTTTTCTTATAGTAAGTGAATCTAACTTTATTTGCCCAATGTTTCCTAATCTTATTTGACCATAGAGTCATTTACCTTTTTAAAAAAACACTTAATACGCAAACAATGAATCATGGAACACTACATCAAAAACTAATGATGTAATATATGGTGATTAACATAACATAATAAAATAAAAAAAAAAACAATTTCCCAAGTGTTTAATGATAAACAGAATATATTTTGGAAAAATAGGGACCAGATAGTCTACAGTCTCTTCTGGCCTTGACATTTTATGATTCTATGAATTAATTTATGGTAATTATAGGCTGGTATGAAACAAGTGCATCTGTATGAATATTGACAGGTGTGTAAAACTAGAATGTTAAAAGAGAAAGCAAATTGGGTTATAATAAGAACCAAGGATTGTTATGACATACTTATTCTATGCCAGTTGATGTGTTAGATCTAATTTATATTTATCTCCTTTATTCATCACAGTGATCCTGTGCCATGCACTTTTATTATTATTCTCATTTTACAGGTTAGAAAACTAAGTCTTGGAATGATTTTGTATCTTGGCCAAGGTTTCATCGTGATATATGGCATGGGCTAGTATTCAAGTGAGGATTGCTTATCTTTAACTACATTATGTGGGATTTATTTTGGACTTTGACTCTGGAATAGTTTTATTTTATTTTATTTTTTAAGATTTTATTTATTTATTTGAGAGAGAGAGACTGAGAGAGAGAGCACATGAGAGGGGGGAGGGTTGGGAGGGTCAGAGGGAGAAGCAGACTCCCTGCCGAGCAGGGAGCCCGATGCAGGACTCGATCCAGGGACTCCAGGATCATGACCTGAGCTGAAGGCAGTCGCTTAACCAACTGAGCCACCCAGGCGCCCCTGGAATAATTTTAAATGAGAAGATGAGATAGAGGTATCTTCAGTCACAGAACAAGGTTCTTGGGTCTATTGAAGAAAATCTGGGAGGGAGGGAGCAGGACAAGACTAGGCTCTGAGCTGGTACCTGGATCACCAGGCAGAGAGACACATGACAGTGCCTTTTGGGCTGACTTTGACATTTTAAAATGAAATTTTTTCTAAAAATTTTATTCATTTGAGACAGAGAGATAGAACGTGTGAGTGCATGAGCAGGGGGAGAGGCAGAGGGAAAGGGAGAAGCAGACTCCCTGCCGAGCAGGGAGTCTGATGTGGGGCTCAATCCCAGGACCCTGGGATCATGGCCTCAGCAGAAGGCAGATGCTTAACCCACTGAACCACCCAGGAACCCCTTAAAATGAATTTCTAGAGATCCAAGGATTGAGCAGAGATAGGGCCTTCCAGGGATATACACAAAATTTAAGCCTACTGCCAACAATCATGAGCAAACCCCACAGGATCTTGCTTACATTTCATGTAATTTGGACAGGTTGGAGAACACATTTGCCTCTATCACTTCCAAGACTTCATTCTGTGAGATCTCTCTGCAAACAAACAAACAAAAAACAAAAAACCATATGATTCAAGTCAGTTCAGTTATACTCCACAGATGGATTTAGGGCTCAGCATAGAGCCTCCTGCCTACAATGATTCATGAGACACGCACAACTCTATTCCTGCCCTCAAAGATGTAAGCTGTAATAATGAGACGAAGCTAACACATGAGATGCTAATACTTAGAGAACAATGAGAGAATAAGCCTAAGGCGATGGCTTAGTCAGTTTAGAGAATATTCAGTCTACAGATGTAACAACTGAAGCCCAGAAAGGGAAGGAGAATTGATTAAAGATATTTAGGGAATATACAGGATGAGGATAAACTTTAGGTTCCTTAGACTCTGCAGGGGTCAGCAAAGTTTTTCTACAGGGCTAGATGGTAACTATTTTTTGGCTTTGTGGGTCATTTGGTTTCCATCACAACTGCTCAGTTGATAATACAGTGCAAAAGTAGCCATAGATAACAAGTAAATGAATGAGCATGACTGCCTTCCAATAAAACTTTATTTATAAAAATATAGGGGTTATCCTATATAAGATCCTGTGGGGTTTGCAGGCTGGATTTGGTGCCATGGGCTCTAGTTCAGTAACCTTGCTCTAGACCATGGAGTCAAGTTCTTCTCTCTGCTAATCTAGCTTTGGGAGATGAGAACCTCAATTCAGTCTCTTTTAAAAGGAGTGTGGATTTAAATACCTTCCCCCTCCATATTATTAGCCAAGTAGGGGTTGTTACTGCAAGGCCTTCCGTCTTAATGTCTTGGCCTAAAATACCCAGAAAAGATCTTTCAGCTTTCAGGGTGTTTTTGTTGTTTTTTTGTTTTTTGTTTTTTTCCTGCTGGAGTAATTTGAGGGCAGTGGAGAGTGAAGTCCACTATGCCGAAGCCCAGAGCTTGAGAAGATAGAGGGTGGCTTAATCACTTAATGTTTATAAAGTGGCTCACAGATGAAACGTGCTATTATTAGGTCTCCAGAGGAAGGTTCATGCAGTTTTAATGTGGCAGCTGAGTGTCTCAGGAAATCTCATAGGCAGCATGCTTTCAAATTGGCTGAGGCAGAAGCAGAAGCACTGTCTGCTGGCCTGGGGTTTAGCTGAAGAGTTCTAGAAAGACTCTTGATCAGGGTAAAGCCTAATGGGCAGAGCAGGGAGGATGTTTTACAGGGGAGGTGTGATTATGATCAGTAGTCATCTCAGTGAGGGGGTGCTGGTGACATCTGGAGCTTGTCAACTCAGTGGTGGTGGGTCACTTCTCACAAGCGAGGAGACTGTGAGAGAAAAAAAGCCTTCTTATTCTATGATAGCATTTTTTCATGACTCACTTGATAAACTTTAGTATTCATAATTTTTACAGTTGAACATAGATAAGGGTGGTGGTGGTGGTGTGTGTGTGTGAGTGAGTGATAGAACATGTTGGCTATTGGCCATTTATTTTGCTCCTCTGTCCTACAAGTGGAAGGAGTACTGGGAGGTACAGGAATGAGGAGGGGTAGGAAATGGGTGGTAGACCTAGAAAAAGAAGGTGTTAATTTGAACACTTAAAGGTGTTGAGTGAAAAGTTGCACAGGGAAAGGTAGGTCATGGAGGAAGAACCAGATGAGAGGGCTTAAATCCAAATGGGGCCATATCTTCCAAAAATGATTTCCAGGTTCACTTACTGCTACCAGTAGGTTTGGTTCACCACTCATGGTAATTTCTCAGCCTAATATTGCCTAATAGGTAGACATTTCTCCTTTCCTGAATTCATGTGCTGAGAGTTCCCTTATCTGGATTTCCCCCCTCCACCCCTCCTTCCTTTCATCCTTTTGTCAAAGAGAACTACAAATTATTAGAATTAAATGCCAAAGAACACTTCAAAATTATTTCAGAAGGTAGTTCATATTTTATAGCCTCACCTTCAAATACAGGAGAGGGTGTTGGGGTTGTGTAGGGGGAGGGGGAGCCTTTGACTGGATGAGGGTTGAGGAGAGATGAACAATATGCAGCTAACTGGAAAAGCATATCACTGAGAAACTCAGGGATCTTGTTCTAGTCTAACCTAGTGCCATCTCTAGTTATTTCTCTTATCATTAATTACATATCTGTATTTACCAGCTACTCCATGTACATTCTCTCTAATCCTTTTGATATGCCTGTAAAGTATTTTCATCTCCATGTGAATAAACAACCCCACTTGTATGCAGAATCACCTCTGGATGATTGCAGGGTGGCAACACTTTTTTTTTTTCTTATTTGAGTAAGAGACACAGCGAGAGAGGGAACACAAGCAGGGGTAGTGGGAGAGGGAGAAGCAGGCTTCCTGCTGAGCGAGGAGCCTGACGTGGGGCCCTATCCCAGGACCCCGGGAGCATGACCTGAGCCGAAGGCAGACGCCCAACGACTGAGCCACCCAGGCGCCCCTGCAACACTTTCTTTTACACATCCTGCCTCCCAGGCCACCTTGGTCCCAGTATTTCCACTCCAGTATTTTAACTCAAGATAAATAAAAATGTATGCCCTCCCAAAGAGTTGTAGATAAATGTTCATTACAGCTTTATTTGTAATAGCCCCAAACTGGGGACAACCCAATGGATAAACTGGAATATCCATATGATGAAAATCTCATCAATAAAATGCAACAAACTGGATACAGCATGGCTGAATTTTTAAAAAATTATGTTGAATAAGAGAATGCATACTGTATAATTCCATTTATATAAGGTTCTAAAACAGGAAAAACTAAGATACAGTGACAGAAATCAGAGTAATTGTCACCTGGGGTCTGGGATGGATGTTGCTGACAGGAGGTGGGGGGAAACTTTCTGGGGTGATGGAAATGTTCTATATCAAGATTGGGGAAGTAGTAACATGAGTGTACATGCTTGCCTAACTTGTTAAACTTTAAACTTAAAATGATGCATCTTGGGGTGTCTGTGTGGCTCAGTTGGTTAAGCATCTAACTTTGGCTCAGGTCATGATCTCAGGGTCCTGGGATTGAGCCCCACATGAGGCTGCTCATTCAGTGAGGAGTCTGCTTGTCCTTCTTCCTCTCCCTCTTTCCCCACTCATGCCCCTTCTCTCTCTCTCTCAAATAAATAAAATCTTTAAGAAATGGGTGCATCTATTTTATTGTGTATAGAACATAAATAAAGTTATTTGAAAGATGACTTTTATGCAAGGGAAAGAGAATAAACTTTTTGTTTGTGTTTCAAGAGCTCTGAATTAAGAGAATTAATAGAAGAATCTTGGTCGTGCTTTTTGCCCAGAGGTAGTGTTCAAATCCTAGTTCTATCCTGGTGATCCTAAGTAAGCATTCTTCCCCTCCTGGTCATCACTGCCCCCCATCTGTAAAGTGAATAGTTGGACTTTATCATAGTTTCTCAAATCTGACTGCATGTTGGAATCTTCTGGTGGACCTTAAAAAAAATTCCAAAGCCTGGATCCATACCAAAGAGTTGGATTTATTTAGTCTGGAGTGGGGCTCTGGTATTATTTTTTTCTCCCTTTAATTTTCCAAGCAATGGGGATACCCATATACAGGAAAGATGGAGAACTGCTGGACTAGATGATCATTAAGGTGCTTTTTAGATCTATGAATTTTGTTTTAAAGTTTGCTTCAGGAGCAAGAAGGGCCAATTTTCCCTTGGTTACTGAGACAATAAATTAGACAAATAAGGTTCTTGGAGCACAAGATAATGAGAGATAATGAGGCAAAATAGTAGCAAGATAAACCAGAGATCTAACATGGAAGCAGGAGTAAAACAGAAAAGGCACTAGTTAGGTTTAATTTTTCATAAGTAAAAACATTTAAACAAAAAGTCGCAACATTTCAGATGTTAAATGTGTAGCAAGAGCTGTTGTGGAAAGTATGTAAGAACACTTTAGTATCGATAATTGACAGTATTTTTGATTATGCATAGCTTCCCTTCATTTTTAGTGTACCTGTAAACTGGAGTTAGTGGTGCCAATACTCTCCAGAGAGGTTTAACAAAGGTTACCTGACTTGACTAAGATAATACTCAGTGGTGAGGATCATTAAATTGGTCTTTGAAGGGAGGATGTGGAATCTTTGCATCCAAACAACTTAGATAATTAAGAAACCATCCTTTGTCTCAATAACTTCAGTTAAGAATTCTCTTTGCAATTGTGATAAATCATTGCAATTGGCACAATTCCCGCTGTGATGGCGTTTTCTTAGAGGCAACAGGTAAAAGTTTGTGAGGAGAGGAGAGCTCTAGGGATGTGATAGATTAGCTGTTCTAAGTGTGATCTTGTGGTCTATATGGTCAAAAGTATTTTCATAATCTAAAATAGAACTTCTTCCCTCTCATTGCTTGAGGATATAGTGGAGTCTAGGGGTTACTCAATGTGTAATATGGCAACAGCTGTAATGGAGAAGCAGAGATGAGATTCCATCTATCTTCTATTAAGCCAGATGCTGAAAATTTTTGCAAATATGTAAAACCATGGTACTCTACACACTAATTTTTTTGAAAAGACAGTTATTTTGCATAACAATTATTATTTATGTTAGCATGTAGAGATTTATTGTTTTAAAATGGACTGACAAAATGTTTCCCAGTTTTAACTTCTAGTATGGTAAATGTTGGTAGCTATAACCCACATAAACCCAATCTCTTTGGTGTCTTAAATAACTGTTAAGAATGTAAAGGAATTCTGAGATCAGAAAGTTTGGGAAATGTTCAATGTAGACATTGAATGACACTCTTATTGGGTGAGAGATCCTGACTCTGTGGAAAGCTTATTTCCAGAGATGAGGCTCTACTCATCTTCTAGGATAGTGCTTCTCAATTGTTCATGCACAGATGAATCACCTGGGAATCTTGTTCAAATGCTTCTCCATGGGAAGATCTTGAGTGGGGCTGGAGGTTCGGCATTTCTAATACCTCAGATGATGGGGATAGTGTGCTGGTTTTGACTGCAAGGCTCTTTAGAAGAATGGTTCTAACACCCCACCAGACCTTTCTCCACATCACACACATGGTTGGATATG